TATCTAGATAAAGCAAGTGAAGTATCTTCACTGTTTCTGTTGAGATTTCCTTCACACCCACAGCTAAGCTGCTAAGAAGCAGTGATCAGTCCAGTGAAGTGAGGAGGAGAAAACATACTATCATGTTCCCTTATTTTTTTTGTCCCCTTTAGGAAAGTGAATATGTCTTTCAATAGTCAGAAATACCATTTTTTCCCTGACGGAAAATCTCTAGGAAAAAAGATGAATATGATGATTGATTCCTTCAATTTTTATACCACCTGTCATTGACCAGTTGGTGGGATATATTCTCTGCATGAGACAGGGCCTGCTGAGGAGTTACTGGATGAGTTTCTACAGACTACACTCTACAAATGACTTTATGAATACAATAGTCCCTCTTAAGCTCATCATTCACCTCCACTGAAAGGACCATTACCATTTACCATTTACCTTTTATCTAGTTCAGAGGAATCTCTGGAGAACTAATTATCTTACTAAATGAAAAGAACTTTGACTCCCCACCCCAAACACACACACACAAACACACAGACATGATGGTGCTAAAAGCAGGTGGCCACTGGTTTGTCACTCACCCAAACATTACAGCAGGTTTTTGTGAAAGATGGTTCTACTATATCTGATACACCTCCCTCCATGACCTCATACTCTAGGTAATATAGGGAGGCAGACAGGACAGTGCTTTTAGGACACAGAAGATGGGGGAATCTGATGACTTGCATCTGCTTTAGTCATGCTTTGGGAACTTTCAGATTTGCTGTACTTATTTGCCTCGGGACATCTTTGGATTTCAAAGCACTGTGTATTAAATAAGTACAAACTTCAAGGACAAACTTAAATTATACTAATAGAAATCAGGAAGTTTGACTGATATCTTTTGGCTTAATTTGTCCCTCGTATACAAGTCATTTTAGTTACTCTTTGTCTCTGCTCTCTCAACTTTAAAAGTACAACTTCAACTCCCTTCTAAACTGAAAACATACTCTTTTATAAGGTCACAAAGGACTTCAAAAAAGTTGCTTTTTTTAATGACCTTTTTTTGCAACTGCACATAATTGTTGATTATTGGACTAAAATACTGGGAGTATGGTAGCTGAGAAGAAAAAAAGATTAGGCAGTGAAGAGGTAGTAAAGAGGTAGTAAAACATTAATTAACAATGTGTACTATGTCTCAGAAATGTTCTTGCACCTGGTTCTCATTTGTCCTCAGGTGAGAAACACAAGACAGCTTTATCATTATTATTGTTATTATTATTGTTGTTGTTGCCATTACTTATTACTGCTTTTGACAAAAAGAAGTCTCACTTCATCAGGGAATGATCAAGCGACCAGCCTCCCACAGCCTGGGCAGGGTTAGCTTCGCTTTCAACTTCTTCAATCATCATTAGCTCTGAACAATGTTATGTCCCATTTGTTCAAAGCAAGCCTCACGAGCAGCTGTTGCAAGGGAACAGCTTGAAGAAGCTGGACTCTAAAATCAAACTCTTTACTTTGCGCTGCCTCAGCATCACTGCTCTTTCTTTTCAGAAGGCGAATTCAGAGTGGCATCGTCCTTGCGCCAAAACTGCAATCAAAAACTGCTTGGCGCAGCCTCAGAGCAGCTGGCCAAAAGAAGATGTCATCATCTTCACTGGAGAATGCTCCGTTGCTGACAGCCCGGGAACGTTCAACAGCGTTTCTCAAATTGGGACCAGCTTCCTGGGAGAGGCTGGAGTCCTGCTAGAAACACCAAACAAGCCAGATGCAATCGAACACAGCTGGCCTGGGCTTGCTCTGGTTAAGGCTTGTCAAGACTACAGGTCTTGTGCTAAATATGTGTCATGTATCTCTTTTTTGATGGTCCTAAGGAAGAATAAAGATATCCTTAGGCTTAGACACAAAATGTGCATGCCTAACTTAATCCAGCGTAAAGCAATTTTGATAGTCTTCAATGTGAACTGCTTACCCCTTCCCTGCACGGGCCCCTGACCCACTTCCCAGCAGCCAGTTTCATCCTACATCCTCTCATCTGTGAACAAGAGCGAAACAAGATGCCTTCCCCTGCCCCTTATTTTTAATACCCTATCTCCTTCAGCCAGTTCTGCTACAGTTTACAGGAATGATGAAGATGCACAAAGGACATTTTGTCCTGAATCCAAGCTTAGCACGTAAGCCCCTGTGTCATCAACTGGTACAAGAAGATGCTTCTCATTACTTTTGTAAAGTGTTATTATTTTTAATTCACTTTAATTCACTTTTAATTCCAACAACAACCATATTTTTTTTCCAAATTAAAATAGGGGATGAGAAAGATCATTAACAGTATAAAGATAGGGATCTTGGCTGGTTTTCTTTTTTTTTTTTCCTGAGGACAGAAAAAAAAAAAACCTGGCAAACTTCATGTAGTCACTAAAGCATCCACAGCTGCCAAAAACTGAATTTTAATTGATAAGGCAGAAACAATTGTCTAGTTCACTGTTGATTCTGGTACACAAGGAAGAGGACGCCAAACGGTCACTCACAAACAGCTAAACATACCAGACACTGAGCAAGAACAATTTGCTTGACATGGAAACAAGGCTTCTAAGGCTCCTCTGTTTGTTACCTCTCTCTTAAAAGCAAGAAAAAAAAAATTCCTGACCTGTATTTAATATGATGAATACGGACACTTGTCTCGCATTCCTCAGAAACTGTTACTTACCTCTCTTCTATCATCTACCAATCTGGCTGGTACACTAGGAATTCACTGGACACTGTTCCCCAAATCTTCACTCATGTTTACACTGAAGCAAACCCATCGAACCCATTCTTCTTGCTTGTTTCGATTTGGTTCAAAATAAGCATTTTGCTATTCCTGCCCTTTTCCTGAGCTTCTGCCCTCAACTTGCCAAGCCCAAAACTCACAGTTTGCTTTGGCTTCGGCAGAGCTGCAAAGGCTTTGTGATGCCTGTATAAAAACAAACATGATTTGCTCATTAAAGCTAAGTTTTCAGGGACGTGCCCCATGTACTCACCTCCACCAATGGCCTGGGTTTGCGCTCCACTGCAAACCTGAAGTGGCAGAGTTCACAGTAGCTGGTGTTTGAAGATGACAGCCAGTGCTCCAGGCAGCTGCGGTGAATGGTCCCCAGGGTCCCTGTACATTCGCAGGGGGAAAGCAGGTCTTCCTGACTGCTGCCCTCGTGGCAGATCCTGCACATCGGCCGGTCATTGAAGGGGCTGCTGGAAGAGGTGAGAAAATTGCTGGTCAGTATACAGAATTGTGACCTAGCCCCTTTCTCTTTCTCTCTGTATGTCACAAATTCACCTTCAATCATTTATCAGCAGTTCTGGCTAACCGGGGAGATCCCAACTGACTGGAGGTTAGTGAATGCGATGCCCATCTACAAGAAGGGCCAGAAGGAGGATCCAGGGAACCACAGGCCTGTCAGTTTGAGCTTCCAGTCAGTGCCAGGGAAGGTTACGGAGCAGATCACCTTGACTGCCATTACACGGCACGTACAGGACAACCAGGTGATCCGGCCTTGTCAGCATGGGTTTATGAAAGGCAGGTCCTACTTGACTAACCAGATCTACTTCTATGCCAAGATGACCTGCTTAATGGATGAGGGAAAGGCTGTGGATTTTGTCTACCTAGACTTTAGTAAAGCCTTAGACACCATTTCCCACAGCATTCTGCTGGAGAAACTGGCTGCCCATGGCATGGACAGGTATACTTCTCACTGGATAAAAAACTGGCTGGATGGCTGGGCCCAAAGGATTGTAGTGAATGGAGATAAATCCAGTTGGAAGTTTGAACACAAGCAGTGTTCCCCAGGGCTCAGTTCTGCGGCCAGTTCTGTTTAATATCTTTATCAATGATCTGGACAAGGGGATCAAGTGCACTCTCAGTCATTTTGCAGGTGACATCAAGTTGGGCAGGAGGGTGCATCTGCTGGAGGGTAGGAAGGCTCTGCAGAGGGATCTGGACAGGCTGGATCGATGGGCTGAGGCCAACTGTATGAGATTCAACAAGGCTAAGTGCTGGCTTCTGCACTTGAGTCACAACAATCCCATGCAATGCTACAGGCTTGGGGAAAAGCGGCTGGAGAGCTGCCCAGCGGAAAAGGACGTGGGGGTGTTGGTCTACAGCTGGATGAATATGAGCCAGCAGTGTGCCCAGTGGCCAAGAAAGCCAACAGCATCCTGGCCTGTATCAGAAATAGTGTGGCCAGCAGGAGTAGGAAAGTGATGGTACCCCAGTACTCAGCACTGGTGAGGACCCACCTTGAATACTGTATTTGGTTTTGGGCCCCTCACTACAAGAAAGATGCTGAGCTGCTGGAGCATGTCCAGAGAAGGGCAACAAAGCTGGTGAAGGGTCTAGAGAACAATTTTTATGAGGAACAGCTGAGGGAACTGAACTGGGGTTGTTTAGTCTGGAGAAAATGAGGCTGAGGGGAGACCTTACTGCTCTCTACAACTACCGGAAAGGGGACTGTAGTGAGGTGGGTGTTGGTCTCTTCTCCCAAGTAATGAGCAATAGGACAAGAGGAAATGGCCTCAAGTCATGCCATGGGAGGTTTAAAATGGATATTAGCAAAAATTTCTTCACCAAAAGGGTTGTCAAGCATTGGAACAGGCTGCCAAGGGAAGTGGTTGAGTTACCATCCCCAGAGGTATTTAAAAGTCATGTAGATGTGATGCTTGGGAACATGGTTTATTGGTGGACTTAGCAGTGTTAGGTTAATGGTTGCACTTGATGATCTTAAAGGTATTTCCCAGCCTAAACACTTCTGTGATTCTGTGATTCTATTCTCATTAACAATGTGGGAAACATTTGCAGTTTGTGTACTTTGCTCTGTAGTTAGTACACCAAGCTGCTGGCCTCATGGCTGCAGGCACTTCGGTATTCTTGTTTAAAATGTCTCTTCTGTGGGGGCGAAAAAAGTGGAGAGTGAAAAACACATCAGAGTAGCAGATGTGAGACAGACAACCAGGTGCTTCTGTACCTTTGTATTTCCCACCTCTTCATAATGCAGCAGAGCAGCCACTTCAAGAAATCTCTAAATGCATCAGTGAAGTTTTAAACCTGCCTCAGCTGTGCATCTCTTATACTAATGATGATCTGTGCCACCCCTACTGACCTACAGGGTAGCATCTAGTGGATGCTAGCATCTATGCTAGTGATGATCCCCTGACCTATAGGGCAAGCTGTTTTCAGTGATGGGCAGCAAAGGACTTCTGGGCCTGAAACAACAGCACCTTTTGCTGTAGCGGTGTGAAGGCAGAGCCACAACTTCAGGCAGACATGTGCAGGCAGGAAACTCCTGTCCCTGGGGTTTCCCTCTCTTTCAGACAACACCCCACGAACAGCTCACGGAGCGGTATTAACGGCTGGAGGAGGACTGCTCCAAACACATCCCTCCCGCGCTGCTGCCCATGGCTATTTCTTCTACATTGCCTCTCCCAAAGCATCGACCTTCCTGGTGGCAGGATGCTAACATGCAGAGGGGGACATGCTCCTCCTGCCAGTGAAAACCTGAAGATTCTGATTTTAACTATTGAGATCGTCTATCTTACAGAGGAATCTCTCCAGAAAGAGGAAGGCAGTCACGCAGCTGCCCGGGGTGCTCGGGCTTGGCGCAGTGGGAGGAAAGCAGGAGCAGGCTGCGAGCACCAGTGCTTCTGACCCACAGATCCACTTCACCGCAGCTTCAACTCAGCCTCCCTGACTGCTGACGGCCGAGAAGGTCGATCCCTTGGCTGAGGTCTTGGAAACAAAAACTCTCCCCACCACACACGCCACCGTAGGTGATCTCAGAAAAGTAGGTTTTGTCACTGTCCCTGACAAAACCTCGTTCACAGATAGCATACGATGGCTCACAGCTGTTCCCTCTGTCCCTCTTCCGGCTCTTTGCAGGCTGCCCCAGGTAGACCTCACTCAAGCGTAACTGCAGGAAAGCGTAAAGAAGTCAGCCCGCTTCTTTCCATCTGCCTGGTGAAACAGTATGAAGTTGTGCTCAATGCTCTGCGCACGCATCTGAGCTGTGCAAAATGAAGAGCGTTTTAAGAAGTTACTGCAAGTAAAGGGGAAAAGGCCCTTTCAGGCTGCAGCAGCAGTTAATAATCTCACTCGTCACACGGGTGTAGTGGATTGGATTATGTTTGCTGTTTGTGACAATTCAGGGCTACTTCAAGACCTGTGCAGTCTTTCCAGCTTCACACCAGTGAGGTGGAACTTAATTTTGACCCAGCTATCATGTCTGGATATAGCCAAACCCGCAAGCATCCTCTTTCTTGCTTCTAATGAAAACAAAGTCAACCTGAAAGCAGGCTAGTGTTTCGAAGGGTATTGTTGAATGTATAGTTGAATGTATATTTCACCACTAATCCGCCATTCTAAACGGACAGCAGAAAGAGCCTCTCTCGATCGCTTGGACGATGGCTGAAGCAGCAACACTTTTGCGCACACCTCTGCTAGAAATAGCTTGCCAGGCCGCTCAGCACGCTGGCCGGGGAAGCGTGAAGAAAACATGCCGCCGAAGTGCTGGCGGCAGCACACCAGCCGGAGGCAGCCAC